GCGACACCGTTTGAGCGGTTCGTATACCAGCCGTCGTCCACACTCTTCGATGAGGATCCGGGCATTATGTCTGAGATCGAGACCTCCGCCACCGGATTCAGACGCGGCAATAAAGCGCGCTCTTCGTTGCCGATCGTGAGGACGCCCTCCAAGACTCAGGACCGCTCACTCGGACTCGTGTTCCTGCAGTTCCGCTCCGAGACCAAGAGAGCGCTTCTGCCCAATGAGATCACGTCATTAGATACCGTCAAAGCACTCTTCGTCAGGTAATGGCACCGCAAACGCACCGCCAGTTTCTCTCTGTCTTGATCTGCATCTCCTTATTTAGTGTCTAATCTATTAGTGTATGAGTTGTTTATGTAATGCAATGTTGTTTTATATAGTATTCACCACTTTATTGTGATTAGTGAATGGCTTTTAGTTGATTATATACATTGTTAGGAAGTGTTGGTTATATTTGTTATGTTTATTTAATTTAATGGTTTTTGTTTCATGTGTTGAGACAATCGTTGAGTTTGTTTACTCCACAAGTTTTGTTGTTTATCTGATGAGAGGTTTACCACATATTATCCACTCTTGTAGTCACGAGAGACTAATTTTAACGACTATTTTAAGACTCGCTTTAGCTCTCAATATATGAGAGGATAGGAAAGTCTTTAAAAAGTTTGAAGCGTTCATTAAATTAGTGTTTTTATCTCGTTTTACGCATTTTTTGCTTTAAATATAACACACTTTTCATTGATTAATGTGTTTTGCGTTTAAAAGGAAGAGTAAAATGTGTTTTTATCTGATTTTTATCTATCCGTACGAACAGATCGTTTCCACGGCAGCTATCGATGGAGTACTTGGACTGTCCGTCGATACGGATCTACATTCACGACGGATCCAAAGACATGTTCTACGAGTTGGAGGACTTCCGCGATATCCGCGACCGGTGTGTACTGCGGATCTACGAGCACGGCGTGAAAGGCCCGCAGCCGGTCGGCGGTCACGCAAATATGCCCGTTATGTCCGACAGCGAACAGTTTGGCTACTTTTCCGAACCCGAGTTCGAGTCGGAATACCAGTCCCAACACATTCATCGCGGCAAAAGGGGTCCCGTCGTGGCCGACAAACCCCTGCCCACCACTGGCGGACAGTCTCAGTATTACGGCACCATTATATTGCCCGCTCAGTATCGACAGCAGGTGATGGTCGGTCGGCAGCCGTCATATGGCGGCGCCGCACAGCCGGCACCTCAACCGCCCGAACGGAAACCATTTCCGGGTAATTATTATTATTTTTGTGTTATTTGTTTGATCGCAGAAATGGCTAAACATATATGACTTGTAGGCTTGCATTCATTTTTCATTAACGCTAACATTAAAAAGTGATTTTTCAAGCAATTCATTAATATCCGGCCTCTCATTGTTTGTATTGAAAACTGCTTTTAAAGGCTATTCGCAAACCCTTCCCCGAAACGCCCACATTATGTCACTTTACGGCAATGTAAACGATGCCAACAATACTAACAATATTAACCAAAACCAATCGCCGAGTTCAGTGGCGC